CTTTAAAATATCTAACTGTTATGTTAATTACAAATCCAAACTACCTTTAAAATATCTAACTGTTATGTTAATTACAAATCCAAACTACCTTTAAAATATCTAACTGTTATGTTAATTACAAATCAAACTACCTTTAAAATATCTAACTGTTATGTTGATTACAAATCAAAACTACCTTTAAAATATCTAACTGTTATGTTAAATACAAATCAAACTACCTTTAAAATATCTGTTATGTTAATTACAAATCAAACTACCTTTAAAATATCTAACTGTTATGTTAATTACAAATCAAACTACCTTTAAAATATCTAACTGTTATGTTGATTACAAATCAAAACTACCTTTAAAATATCTAACTGTTATGTTAAATACAAATCAAACTACCTTTAAAATATCTGTTATGTTAATTACAAATCAAAACTATCTTTAAAATATCTACCTGTTAGGATAATTACAAATCAAAACTACCTTTTAAATATCTAACTGTTATGTTAATTACAAATCAAACTACCTTTAAAATATCTAACTGTTATGTTGATTACAAATCAAAACTACCTTTAAAATATCTAACTGTTATGTTAATTACAAATCAAACTACATTTAAAATATTTATATTAAAGTTTTTCTTCCTTACCCATTCAAGCCGTCCCCAAGCATTATTAATACAACTATATGTTTATTGCCAATATGTTGTTAATACCAAAGTTAAGTTAGCCAATGAGTCGTTAATACCAAAGTTAAGTTAGCCAATCAGTCGTTAATACCAAAGTTAAGTTAGCTAATGAGTCGTTAATACCAAAGTTAAGTTAGCCAATAAGTCGTTAATACCAAAGTTAAGTTAGCCAATAAGTCGTTAATACCAAAGTTAAGTTAGCCAATCAGTCGTTAATACCAAAGTTAAGTTAGCCAATCAGTCGTTAATACCAAAGTTAAGTTAGCCAATCAATCGTTAATACCAAAGTTAAGTTAGCCAATCAGTCGTTAATACCAAAGTTAAGATAGCCAATGAGTCGTTAATGGAACTTGAGAAACCGATTTAAATAGTGGTTAAAAAACAAAATTTTTGTCGATCGATAGCGACCCACCATTAACTGTCCCGATGTATTATCAGCTCAATCTTCCCCTGGACTAACGCTAATACTGTCACCTGGCGGATGTAATCTAAAATACCTAACGATTTTGGTATAAATGCGTAAGTAGTCGGATTGCAAAGTGGGATTGTGTGAGTTTTTAAATTGTCTTCGATTACGTAATTTTGGATTAATTCAGGGTTTGAAGATCGCTGTGGTACGCGCCTCGTTAGCGTTAAGAAAAGAAAATAAGACAAATAAAACGCACTTTAGAGGCGTGGGTGCGTTATAAGTGTGACAACCAAGTCCCACTATTTTATTACAGTATCTCAAGAGGTGGCGGTGCTGGCTAGCTACCTTCCCTCTAACCCTTGTTTATATATATATATCACTCACACGGATACCTCGGCAACTGTCACAACTCAAAATGCTGGGACTAATATTTCACCGGTGTATTTGTATGTCTTGAGAAGCAATCCGAAAACATTTCTTCCGCGTATGGATATATGGAACTATGAAGTTGGGAAGCGTGTAAGTTGAAGGTTCAAATCCGACCTACGTCGATCCACTTTTTAATAGATTGCTTGATAAAATTTTGCACAGAAGTTATTGAATCTATCAAATAATATATTTTTTAAATATTAAAATTTTTCTTTGACCTCAAACACTCATGTAAAAAAAAAAAAAGAAAAAGAACGAACCATCGGTCAGAAAATATGTAGTCGTTTGTGAACCGGACAAACTGTTAATTGGCTTAATTTGACTTTTAAAAGATGGGAGATAAAAAAAATTAACATTTTTGGTAGAAATAAATGGACAAGCATACATAATAAATTATACTTTGTGTGGTTTTTTAGTAAGTAAAAAGCTACACCATGATCTACCTGTGCTGAGCCCACCACGAGTATCGAAACTCGGTTTTTAGTGGTTTGAGCCCTCAGATTTACTAATGGGCCACTGGGGGGCAATAATAAATTACATAGAGAACCATTTTTGAAACTTGATATACAATACTTTTTAACTTAAAATGGATTCCAAACCAGTTTGATGTTACTGTATATTTTCTATCAAATATATTACAAACATTTAGATAAGTTACAGAGTATTTGTATCAGTATTTAATGGACAAGGCAAGTTTGAGTTCACTAATAATGTGCATTAAGTTCAACAAAATAGATAAAATATATATTTAATTTTTAATTTTCCTGTTAGAAAAAAATGGATTAGTGTCTGTGGGGTTCTTTGAAACAGTACTAGAAAGATGGAATTAAACCTTAAAAGGAGTTTTTAGAACTAACAATAAAAACAAGATGAAATGTTTATCAGAACAAACATTGCTAGAAAGATGGAATTAAACCCTAAAAGGAGTTTTTAGAACTAACAATAAAAATAAGATGAAAGGTTTATTAGAACAAACATTGCTAGAAAGATGGAATTAAACCCTAAAAGGAGTTTTTAGAACTAACAATAAAAACAAGATGAAAGGTTTATCAAAACAAACATTGCTAGAAAGATGGAATTAAACCCTAAAAGGGGTTTTAGAACTAGCAATAAAAATAAGATGAAAGGTTTATCAGAAAAAAACATTGCTAGAAAGATGGAATTAAACCCTAAAAGGGGTTTTAGAACTAGCAATAAAAACAAGATGAAAGGTTTATCAGAACAAACATTGCTAGAAAGATGGAATTAAACCCTAAAAGGAGTTTTTTAGAACTAACAATAAAAATAAGATGAAAGGTTTATCAGAAAAAAACATTGCTAGAAAGATGGAATTAAACCCTAAAAGGGGTTTTAGAACTAGCAATAAAAATAAGATGAAAGGTTTATCAGAACAAACATTGCTAGAAAGATGGAATTAAACTTTAAAAGGAGTTTTTAGAACTAACAATAAAAATAAGATGAAAGGTTTATCAGAACAAACATTGCTAGAAAGATGGAATTAAACCCTAAAAGGGGTTTTAGAACTAGCAATAAAAATAAGATGAAAGGTTTATCAGAACAAACATTGCTAGAAAGATGGAATT